GTGGATGGATCGATTGCTTTTTTCCAGATTTCATGGTCCCTATTCCATAGCGGCGCGTTAAATGACTTAACACGTACATGACTGCGCTCAACATCTCCTCCTCTCGTGTTCAAATGGAAATCATAGATCAATTTTTCAGCAGGACAGTTAGCCTATTTGGTGAAATTTTCCAATGTTTGAGCGAAGGTTTTTCCGAAATCTGAGGAGGTAGCGGGGAAATTCTCTTCACTGTTGTAGAGTACGCTTACTTGTGTGTAGAAATAAGATGACAACTTGCTTGTAGACGAGCGCTTCCGCCGTGCTGTGGCTGTGAAACATGCCTCCTCGTCATGCCCTTGTGGAAAGATCAGATTTTTTGCATTTCCAGATGAACTCGCAGACCTGAAATGTGCCCCGTTAGATTCCCCGTGAAAAATGCTATCGAATGATATGCATTACTTCCCCCAGTTGAAACTTTGGTTTTTCACCGTTTTCAGCCTTCCCCTATTCCCACGATTACTGCCCCAAAATCTCAAAGTTTCATTTTTCGTCGAAACTTTGTCTATTGGGGTAATTCGATGCCCTGATTACGAATATGACATTCATTTTTGATGCTGGTGTCATTTGGCGCCAATTGGCGCCAAAGACGATTTCGCGTTTTTTTCGTTTTTTCGTTATAAATCGGTTTAAAATTAAGATTTTCAAAATCTGAAAACAGCCTTGAACTCAGCTCGTCGAGATCTATAAGAATCCGTCCTAAAGTTTTCTAGCGGCACTACACTGGATTGCGCCATGCACTCAATTTTCATCTCAAAAAGTAGTTGCTCGCATGTGATGTGTATATAATCCCGCTTATGCGGGCTGACCGCTACACACAAAGAAGGGCCTCAAAACTTACCCCAGAATGCGCCACGTACTCAATCTCATCCACTACATTGTGAGATTAGATGAATGTTATTTTCCGAATTCTTAGATCTTCATTTCGTTTTTAAGCGCTTACTGGCTTTACGTGTTCCCTCTGCTCTCAATATCCCATCCTCTGTATATCAAGTGGAATCTTTGAACAGTTCTCAGCAGGCATAGTGGGCCTATTATGTGACATTTTCCATTTTCAGAGGAGATGTTTTGCAGAAAGCTGTGAAGATAGCGAAGGAATTTCCTTCACTGTCGTAGACTACGGTCACTTGTCTGTAGGAATTATATGGAAACCTTGGTCGCAGGTGAGCGTTCCTTCCGTGGTGTGACCCCAAACATCACACCTCGTCATGCCCTTGTGAAATGATCAGATT